ATTAGCATTTCAGATCAACTGTAAGGAACAATTAAGAAAAAGATTGTTTGGGTGACCTATTGGTACTGTAATCCAGTGGTTCCCAACCCTGGTCCTGGAGGCACCCCAACACTGCACATGTTGCATGTCTCCTTTCTCTGACACACCAGTTTCAGGTCTTGGAGTCTCTAATGAGCTGATGACCTGAATCAGGTGTGTTTGATTAAGGACGGAGACATGCAAAATGTGCAGTGATGGGGTGCCTCCAGGACCAGGGCTGGGAACCACTGCTGTAATCAACACAGTTGTACTTAGTTAAGCTAGTTAAGAAAACTATGCACTCATTGAAGCACTTCTGAACAACCATTTGTATAAGGCTATATTCTGTAATTTCTACAAGCATGTTTAGAAAAGAAGTCAGAGAAAGGGATGATGAAGGAGAAAAAAATAATTTATCAACTTGTGCTTACCCGCTCCTTCACATCTGTGCTTGACTGGATAGGAATCACATTTTTTACATAACACATACTTAATAATATCAGCCAAACCATTTGATATCATAACTGACTGGTGTGGTGAATAACTTGATTGAGCGCCAGTCATATCAAATCCAGTAAGTGACTCATTGACGATTATAAGTCAAGGTTTATGTAAATCACGAGGACTTCATTTAGAATTTTCCCATAGTGCCAGGTTTCCATTGGAGCATTATGTAAAATGCGGTTTAGTTTGTGTTACTGTTCCATAAAAGTATGTCAGACGCAACATGAGTTTAAAAATGAAACACTCCATTTAAGCTTGAAAAAATAAGATCTAGAATGCTAACTGAGTGTTTGAGGTGAAAGTAATTTCTTATGTTGTGGGTCAGTGGTTGTGGCAAAGTAGTTTGTCTTATTTTTTCATATCCAAGCATGCTTACTATTGCAGTCAGATGGCCGAGGAGCCCCATCATCACCACCATCAATAACATCCACAAGTTCTGTGTTTCTATAATTTATAATAACGATATGTCACACAGGTTTATGAGCTAATTTGTGAGCTTGATAAATGGCCAGACAGGACTGGTTATGCTCAAGTGCTCAAGACAATTTCAAATTATTGAATTTACAGCCATTGGAGTTAAAACCTGAGGAGTTTGTCTGACAAATGACAGTGGTTTGGTTTTGGTTCCTCACCACCTTGCATCAAGAACAGGAAAATAAACGAATGTTTGGAAAATAAATAATGAACATTCCAACTAATAAAAAAATATGAGATGTTTCAAAGGGGTCATGAACCGAGAAATCAAAATTCTCTTGATCTTTTGACGCAAGAGGTCATTATAAAACATTATGTACGTTTCAGAATTCAAAACTTTCTCGTTAGTCTAAAAACAGCTTATATTGTAGCCAGTCTGCCAAAAGGACAGCTTGTGGAATGTGCCACTTTATGACATAATCGTGTGGCTAAGCCCCGCCCACCGATTCGCACAGGTAGTAGGCAAATGACCGCGATTTCTGACTTTGTAGGTGTTTTCAAAAAGCTGGGGGTTTCTAAATCATGCAATCAAAATGACCCCCCTTATCTAACCCCACCCATAAACCTACCAGCACTATGACGTCAGCCAATCAGGTAACATGGTCTAAAAACGCCTTGATCTGGTAACTCCCATTACTTTCCTTCAGAGACCTATACTTGAAATGACCTGCAATCTCACAGTCAGGGGCGTAGATGACGCGGGGGACGTCCCCCCCCACTTTTAATATCACGTAAATTCGTCCCCTGCAGTTTTTCGGGCAAGTGTGTTTGCATAGAGGTTTTCAAGAGCCAGTGTGAATAAATATAGATTTAAATTCAAAGAGACAGGATAGTCTGTGCATGATCTGATGTTTTATTTGGACCCAGAGATGGCGCTAAACATTCCATGCAGTGTATGTTACATTCAAACTCTAAGCCGGAGGGCGCTCTCGTGCAGAAAGTCGTATGAGGAAATTCCTAATATGGACAAAAGCGTCCAGCTATCGCTGTTTGAAAACAGTTGTTTTTAGAAAAACAGAAACGTTTGGAAACATGAAGACATTAAACATACGATTGCGACAATATGGTTTATTTGTGTTTGTCAAGTCATCTCCAGGTAATAAATAAAGTATATGAACAATGCAGTGCTAACTGACATAGCATGCATTACAGTATTGGAACTATTCTGCCTTATTATGTGATAAAAAAGTGTTTGTAGTATATAAACAAATCATTATGATTGATTATTGTCCAGCAGTTATCTGATTTCCAAGCCAATTAAAAACTAGAAATGAGAGAAAAATGAAAGTTGCCTATACACGACCAGTCAAAAGTTTTTGAACAATAAGATTGTTAATGTTTTTTAAAGAAGTCTCTTCTGTTCACCAAGCCTGCATTGATTTGATCCATATATATATATATATATATATATATATAACATTTCTGTCCCCCTCACTTCTGAAATGATGGCTACGTTCACAGTCGAGTTTTTCTAAGGACCCCCTTAAACTTAAGTGTACTTTTTTTATAGAGGTCTTTTACTATGATGATATACAAATAATGGAGTGAAGTTTTCCTACAGCAGTGCACAGGTGTCATATGTGGACACAATTAACTGCTCAACTTGTTCTTTGTAAGAAAAGATATGAGAAAGTAGTGTTTGTGATTTTCCAGCCACTAGAGAGCGCCATGTATCCTTTTCTGTTTTTCTTCATAACATGTTGCTTTCCAAGTCAATTTGTTATTTCTTCTCTTCTTGACTGCTGTTTTTTGATTGTAGAGATAAAACAAAAAAATGAAACTTAGGTGATGATGGTTCTTCTAAAAGGGTTAGAATTTCAAAATTGGAACACCAAACATATACTTGATTGCTCCGTTTCCAAAGTGAATCCCAAATGATGATTTAAAAGAAAATTATTAATAAATTATATTAATGAAGATGAAAAAAAAAAAGCAATGACCAGATTAATTTTTGGCATGAACTTCACTACAGTATGTTTTAATGAAATAGTAGGCTAAAAATAGTCAAGACAAAAATAGAGTCTGTTTTAATAAGTGACAGAAAAAATATTAAACCGTCTAAGATCTGTTACTTTAATCTATAATATTACATTCTAAATTAATTGTGCTTTTAGTTTCACCAGCCAATTTATAAAATAGTACTGACAATAATCTCTTGAACTAATAATCATTAAAAATGAATAGGTCATATTAAAAATACATTATTTGTGACCTGTACTAAGCTTCTAGATTATATTTACATGAAACATTTATATGTGCAGTCTTAATAGAACACAAAACGTAACAATAACTTTTATAATTTGTATCCACTTTATTCTATAAACTTTAACATACAACATACAACTCCATATCATAAAAAAAAGAATTTTTAAGCAAATCCATTTAATGATGTATATTTTTATCAACAGGAAAATATTTTATGAGGTAGTTTTTTTGTATTTCTATAAGAATGACAACATTGAAAAAATTATTTCAAAAATAATTTGAAAGCGTTTTATTCGCCTATATAGACTGAGAACTATCTCATTTCTTTGGTGGAAAACCTGTAGGCGTGCCTGACAAACGTTGATCTCCGAGCATAACATCCAAACACGGTCCTTCTCCACTTCCACAGTGTTCACCAACAAGCAACCATAATGAAGCATGCACAATTTTAACAGAAAAAAAGCAATTTTTCTCTTGGTCTTACTGTTTTCATGGTGTAAAAATGCAGTTTTCAAAAGATAATGTTGATGATGTTGAAACCTTTGTGCATGCATCTGTCACTCTTTGCACCTTGACTAACTTATCAAGTAGGTTGCCATTTCCTGTGCGTCAGCCGATGGTCCTCTTCAGCACAAGCTCTGTGGACTCTCCATGTCCTGTGCACAAAGCTTCATTTGACTTCTACTGAGCACTACTCCATGTACTCTGGTTACCATCACACATACACTTCAGGCATTGTCTTGCAAATCAAATGATTGGGGACGATCACGTTTTTCCCTTGATGTTGCATTTTCAGCAAAGAGTCTTTTAAAAGCTTCTTGTTGCTTTGAAATACATTCCTTAAACAAACCTGTGGTAAACATAACTCTGGTCAATAACTTTAAAATACATGCATAACATCTTGACTCAAAGTATTTAAATAATATCTTGACTAAGTATTTAAGTACTTACATAGCTTATGCAGAACATCAGGAATGCAATAATGAGTACTGGGATAGCCAGAACTCCATAAATTGTATCACTTATATTAAATACCATTTTCTCATCTGTACCATACTCTAAAAATGAGAAAGAAAGAAAACAAAAACACACATGAAGATCAGATTGTTAGTTTGTGAGCTATTGCTCACAGTTGAACTATACAGTAGCATTAAAAGTATTTGGAAGCCACACTTAAAACTGTATGGATATTATTGCATTGAGATGAAATACTACACCTTTGGTTAATGTAGCCTACTAGATCACCCTAGTAAACTTTATTTTGATTCTAAAATCTCCAAAAACGTCTAAAACATTAGTATATTTTAAGTGTGGCTTAAGTATGTGTTCAAATACTTGTTGTGGCCGTTATAAATCCCCATAGGCCCTACTTACCATCGACTTTCAGAACGATTTCACCTTCTTGGTTCTGATGGCCAAGGGGAGCCGACAGAAAGCATTTGTATATCCCACTGTCCTCTGCAGTTACATTAGACAGAAGAAGGCTCATTGAGCTCTCAAGTAGCTCGAACTCTCGGTCGACAGCTTTATATTTTTGCACTGTGCCATTGTTTTCAGTTAGTCTCTTCCTTACAAGTCCAGATAACAGCTGAGAAGGCTCTTCAGAAACCTGCAGAACAGAGGTTTAGCTTAAAGTTTAATGACATATTCATTTGAAACAATACATTTCTCAAAAACATACAGGGGCAGATTTCAACATCTAGTACAAAACATGAACATGTGAGTCAAAAAAACTCAAGGTTCTAGAAAAAACAAACAAAAAAAAAAAAAAACGAATTTTGAACTTTACCTTGTACCATATGACGGAACGGTACTGGACGTCGGGCTTTAATGTCGCCGCACAACTCAAGACTGCGTCCTCACCACTGAAGAAGCGAATCTCCCGCCGCACTCCCTCCGCCACAGCTGTGAATAAAACACCTCATGTCAACCTGGATCAACAGAGTCTGCGTGAAAATGCTCCCAGAGATACAGGTGGAGTCTTACCTAAAATTACAAGACAAGCGACTAATTCCGAGAAGTAATGCATGGTTCTGACTGTAGCTTGCTGTCGACTCTTTGCCTTTTATACACTTCACTGTTTTGAGGAAGTGGGGGATTCCCTAGCACGTGCGGTCGTGAACCCGGAACCGCAATGGAAACGTTCATTTATGCATTCACAGCCACTTCATCAGACTAGCCCGCGCGATGTGCTGGATAAGAGAAGTTTTTGTTCGTTTCATATTGCTATCAGTCTTTGTTGCACATGGTAAGATATTTCATGCTAATATCCGATTCGCTCACTTTACATATTACATACTGTAGCTATGAGGCTTGATGCTGTTCAATATGAATGACGCAGCAGCAAGTTTATTCTCTCATCATGTCTCTAGCAGTCTAGTAAGCACGAGCGCTTGTGGTTATGCTGGTTTTTCACATGCACGTTTTGCTATCTGTGTGTTTTTGTTATTTGTTAGTTTCTGTAAGTTTAGCTTTTTCTAGATTTTAATTCTGTCTCTGTTGTGTTTCCCATTACGGCAGTTCTCAACTGGTTTTTAATTTTAACATGGCATCTTAATGTTGTTAAAAGTTATATATACATACAGTTCATTTAAAAAGATGTTTGGTAGAGAAAGTAAATGACACTTGAAAAAAACTCCCTTTGGTATCTTGGGATTCCCCCATTACGTAATTGTCGCCGAGCACGTTTTTACGCGGTAGTTTTAATCTGATGCCTTGCCCTCGTCTCAAATAAATAAACGTTACACTTTCCACCACATGTTACTGCATAGACTTCCATTGATTTTATGTCAGGTTCATATTTTTAACTAGTGAGGACCAGTTGTCAAAGTATTTCACAATGTAATTTAGGACGTTTGGTCCTCACAAGCAAAGTCAAAACACACATACACACAACACACACACCTGGATACTCTGACATGCAGAAAAAATTAATAACAAAAGTTTATGACTTTTCTTATATGTTGCACTTGTATATGATTCTAAATATATAGTAATGACAATTCTGAGTGACAGACACATCTTATACCTCTCTTCCCTCAGTGTTCACTACAGTCACAGAGACGACACAAAACTACACCTGTGCGGAAGAATTGCACCATGTACAATCTGAATATGCAATGAAGAGCCCAGGCTGTGATCAGTATTGGTCTGCACAGGATCATGTGAGTAGATTGAAGAATTGAAGTTCAGTGATAGATTCTATCTAAGCTGCAGCTCACTGACTTTAAAGGGTTAGTTCACCCAAAAATGAAAATTAGCCCATAAATTACTCACCCTCAAGTCATCCTAGGTGTATATGACTTTCTTCTTTCAGATGAATCCAGTCGGAGTTATATTAAAAATTGTCTTTGATCTTTCAAGCTGTTTAATGGCACTCAGCGGGTGTTGCATGCATCAGTCCAAAAGCACTTAATTAAAATGCGCCCATCCATAAAAAAAAAAAAAACGAATCGATGCGTTTTTGTAAGTAATTTATGGGCTAATTTTCATTTTTGGGTGAACTAACCCTTTAATGCTTTTTCATCCTTCAGTCTATTGCAACATTTCTGCAATCCACCCCAGAGTGTCATAGTCCATGCAAAGAGGTGTTCGCTGGGGGAATCGTTCTGACTGACTGCGTCAATATCACCCTGGCTGTAATATGCACTAGAGTAAGTCGTTTTCTCTGCACCACAGGTCCTTTATGACTTAGAGCATTTGAATTGACCATTAACCAGCATTTGTATCTATTTTAAAGGACTATTTGACTGAATACCGTGTACATTTTTATGGTAAGTTTATTTTCTACCAGTGATATATTGTTTATTGTTGGGCAGCCAGTTCGTTTTCAAACATTTTCTTTTGTTTTAGGCGAAAGAGTCCCTCAATCACTGATCAACCCTGTGAACAGAGGTCACACTGGTAATATAAAACAAACACTGTGTGTGTGTGTGTGTGTGTGTGTGTGTGTGTGTGTGTGTAAAATATATAATATTCTTCAGAACAGAAATTAGTTTCATTTCAGAGGATTTTTCTATTTTATTTTTTAGGTGTTTTTCTGCTCATTACCTTGGTGGTCATAGCCATTGTGGTGTGTCTGCTGTGTGTTGCATATGCATACAAAAACAACAGAAGCAACGTTCAAGCCACTTACAGTGATATGGGATAAAGAGAGTGTTCAACAGATTCTTTTTAATTCTGTAGGATTTTTTTTTTTCTAGAAATAGCTTTATTATGGCAGGGCTCCATTTTATTAGTTTAGAGCATAGGAATAGTACATCTTATATATTGTACGGTTAGAAATAGTATAGGATAGCATAGGAATAGTAAGTGTACAGTACATGGAGACACATGAAAACATGGGGTTTGATGTCTCCCATCCTCCGAATAGTACGTCTTATATACTGTACGGTTAGAAATAGTATAGGATAGCATAGGAATAGTAAGTGTGCATGGAGACAAATGAAAACATGGGGTTTGATGTCATTTACATTTATTCATTTAGCAGACCCTTTTATCGAAAGCGACTTATAATTGAGGAATACATCAAGCGATTCATCATAAAGAGGCAAATAAACGAAGCGCTCGAAATACAAGTTTCAGGCATTGTTCTGGTTAGTACAAGCTAGACGGGGGATTAAGGAAAGAGAAAGCAAAGTTTTTTTTATTATTATTATTTTAGGATGAGGTCAAATGGTGATGAAAGAGATGAGTTTTTAGCTGTCGCTTAAAAATTCTCAGGGATTCAGCATTCCGGATGGAGGTGGGAAGATAATTCCACCAGCCAGGAATGGTGAATGAAAATGTTCTGGAAAGTGGTTTTGTGCCCCTCTGTGATGGTACCACGAGACATCGCTCACTCGTAGGTCTCAGACTTGTAGAGGGGATGTTCCCCATCCTCTGACCCTTTTTTGCATGGTGCAATTATATATGATTTCGCACTTTTTATAAATACTTTTGAATCTACCTCTGATGAATGAATGTGTTAGTAATATTGTAAGGTCTTTGACTATAGGTTCAATGGACTGATATATAAAGCATATAAAAATCTATTCAAATTAAAGTATTATTTGTGCAAAAGGATGCAAATATTTTTTATGTGGTTTTTTATGTATCCCTTTTTTTTCCATTTTGAAAATGAGCTTGTGCAATATTTCATTAAAATAAATTCTAATTGTTTTTGATATATACTGAAAATACATTGAAATGTTTTTATTTGTGGCTGCGTTCAAATACTCTGAGGTCACTGTATAAAAAAGGCCGTAAGAGTCAACTCACACTGCCAAGATCTATGTACCAATACTACTTTAATTTGTTTTTTAAACTCTTCCTTTTCTTGTACACTATAAATGATTACATGTTTATTGACATTGACATAAATATTTCCCTGTCATTAACAAATTAGTTTTGTCCTTCATAATTTATTCACAAAAAAAAAAAAAAGGATTTTACAGTTATTCAAAAAGGTATGATAATGGCCTGAACAATGATCATAAAATTTTGTGGTTACACTATATTCATGCCACACAATCAAACACGGCTTAACATGTTTACAAAAAAAAAGATCTTTAATTCAGCTTGACGAATCAAGACAATAAAACATGATATTTCAGGACACAGAAGATGTAAATTTAAGATGCTTTACAAAATTATTTACATGTCTGTACTGTATTTATAATGAAACTAAAACATTGTTGATGAATGAAACCAAAAGTGCTGGTAGTTTTCATTTGTATAGTTTCATTTTTGGACTTCAAATTGGTAAACAAATCTGTAGATATTTGATCTCCAGCTCTTGACTCCAGTCTGTATGTGATGTCTTCCATCTGACAGCACTATTTTCATGGTCTCTGCTGGAGATGATCTCCTGTCGTGGGTCACTCACATTCGTCCCTGTTGTCAGGCTTGGCTGAGAGGGCCTTTGACCAATCCCATCTCTTTGCGCACTACAGGTGCATGAATGCTGCAGTCTCGTGCCTCGCACACGCCAGGTATTCCTGCATCGCCAACCATGCCAGGCTGACCCACAGGCCCGGGAAAACCACGGGGTCCTCGTGACCCATCAGTTCCATCTTTTGGTTCTGCTGGATGGCCTGGCAGTCCTGTTTGGAGAAATAAACCAGATTTAACTACATCTAATCCACAGTTATTGAAATAGCAGACAGAAAAAGATCCTACCTCTGAGGCCTTGGTGACCATCATGCCCTGGAAGACCTTTTCCAGTATCACCACTCTGTCCTTTCTGACCTTTAGCGCCTTTAGAAAAACACAGAGAGCTCATTTGTATGTAGAAACTCTTTGTTTTTCTTTTTTGTTGTTGTTAAAGGGAAAGTCTAACCAAAAATGAAAATTCTGTCATTTACTCGCACGTTTCAAACCAGTATGCACAAAATAAGACATTTTGAAAAATGTTGGTAACCAAACAGTTTTGGGTCCCATTGACTTCCATAGTATTTGTTGTCCATATTATGGAAGTCAATGGGATCTGAAACTCTTCGGTTACCAACATATTCTTCAAAATATCAAACAAGTCACACAGGTTTAGAATGACATCAGGGGAAGAAAATGATGACTACATTTTCAGTTTCAGGTCTTATGGGCAAAAATAATATTTCAATGGGACCTGAAACAGTTTGGTTATATTTTTAAAAATATCTTCTTTTTTTTCCACAAAATAAATACACAGGTTTGAAACAACATAACGAAAAGTTAATGATGATGAGAATTTTCATGTTTGGGTGAAACAGTTTGGGGTTCCATTGACTTCCATTGTTTGTTTGTTTGTTCATACTAATGAAGTCAAAGGGACCCTAAACTCTTTGTTTAACAACATTCTTCAAAATATCATTCTTTTTTTGTGTCTGTGTTCACAGAAGAAACCAAGTCATACTTGGTAGAGATGACAGTAAATAATGACAGAATTTAAATTTTTGGATGGATTATACCATTAAATTAAAATGTTATTTTTAATAGTAACGTCAGCGCAGTACCTCTGTCCCCTGTAGCTCCTTTCTGGCCCTCTACACCTTTCATTCCTTGAAGGCCTCTTTCTCCTTTAGCACCTACCTTTCCTGCTTTACCCTGAATGAAATTCAGTGTGTTATTATTTATTTATTTTTTAAAGTAAGAGTGTTTTTATATGCCAGTTTTGTGGTGACTCGTATATCAGCTCACAGGTTTGCCTGGACTTCCAGAGGGTCCTGTGACTCCTGGGGGCCCGATGAGCGTGCGGTTGTTGATCGGACAGCCCTGTACGCATTTGGCACGTATAGATGAAGCATACTGGGAGATGTGAGCGGTGACCACACCTTGACACAGCTGCAATATCTGCTCATCCGTCAGTCCTGGACCCTGCACAGAGTGAGATGAACTAATATATTTTACAACAGAAATCGATATTTGTATTCAAGCATAAACCACATTCATAAACTCAAAATTAATTTCTTGCTCATAATAAACATGATGATACGCACAGGTTCACCTGGTTCTCCTTTTGGCCCACTCTGTCCTTTCACTCCCTGGTCTCCTATAGGGCCTTTGTCACCTCTGGGACCTGGAAGACCTGGAGGTCCAATAGGACCAGGAAGCCCATCACGACCGAAACGACCCTTCACCCCACGCTACATCACATAAGAAAAAAATCTCAGTTACTTAAAGTGATGAACAACAGTTACAGAAATAAAACAGATATATTTATATTATTTACATTAT